TGCCCAACCTTCCTTCCGAGGAGTGGCTGGTGGGTTTGAACCGCCAGCCGTCTGGTTAGCAGGCAAGTGTCTTAGCCACTATGCTACCAGAGCTCCTCACCCTCCATATAGCAGCTCACAAACACCTTGTCTCATGACACTGACTACAATTTCCCACAATGCAAATAACTCCCCTCCCACTTCCTCTCCATAGTCACTTCTTCCTTGTGTCCTTCCCTTCACACACTCCTGCCCCCCCCGAGCTGTGCCCCCACGCACACATAGCCCCTCTATTCTCCCATGATTGTGCTCTCCAAGGAGTGTATCTGTCTAATGTAAATGTTCAGCTAATATGCCCAATCTCTACCTGGCTGGAAGCCATAGGAGTGGGCCCAACTCCAGACCTGAAGGGCAGCCAGGGGCCACAATCTCAGTGGCTCCATCAGGCTCTGTCAGACCAGCAAACCTGGTCTCTCTTTCTTTCTTTTAAAGATTTTGAGTTTTGTTCCACATTGCTCTCCCACTGCATCAAGGATCCCCCACACAATCCCCCTCTGAGTGTTCGACAGTGATAGCCAGGCTACATCTAGTTCTGTTCTCATACTCATATAGGCTGAGGATTGCATGGTGTACCAATCACTTGGATTAATTATTTCCATGAATCTTTGGTTTTCTTCATTTTTCTTTGGTCTGGTTGAGGAAAGACCCATTGTTGTATCTAGACGACTGCTTGCAAGCTTTTAAGAACCCAGTCGCTACTTGCCAAAGTAGGATGTGGAACAATGTTTTGTGTAGTATGGTATGCTGATTGAGCTTGATGTCGCCTGAGACTATGGTCCCAAGCCCACAGGTCCAACTACTCTCTCCTTCTGGGTAGCTGGCTGTGACCAAGCAGTGACTACAGCCTTGTCCCTTTTCAGCTCTACTATATACCTGGGAATTCTTATAAAACATATGAATACACTTGTAGAATCATTGTATGCCAACTCTATACATGGTCTTGGGCATACCCCCCCTGCATAGACATGCCTAATAGTTCAGCCTGTCCACCCATCTATCAACCCGTATACCCTTGTTTGCCTTCACTGACAATGCAATACTGTATGTGCAAAAAGGTTCCTCTTTGTTGTCTGTACCTCCAGTGTGCCTCTCTATGTCTTCCTCTTCCTCAGTGCCACCATGTTGATCACTCACATTTGGTACCTTCCCCTTCTTAAAGAGATCTTTTGAGGCAGATTTGCCCAGTGCAGTAAGTCATCTGATTTCTTGGCTGCTGCTTCTGTTGATTGTGGGTGTTGATTGTGGATCTAATCTTCTCTCCGTTTATTGTGATGCTGCTCCCATCTCTAGTAACCACTAAAGAACATTGATTTCTATGTGTATGCTTAGTTTTTAAATGAGTAATTCTTTGGTATCAAATTGTTTACATTTTCCTGGTTGTCTTTTTTCCTTTCTTTTCTTGAGTGATGCTTGTTGTCTTTGGTTTATAACTCAGGACCTAACTAAGGCCCACACTTTATTTGGTTATTGAAGTTCATTATTTTAAGTGGACACTGACCACATTTTTCCCATCCCCTCTTCTCCTATCATGGTAATCCCTAATCTTCTGTTGTCCTGATGGATTCCTATGCAAGATATCTCATATAGTGGAATCTTACAGTATTTCTTCTTTGTGTCTGGCTGAACTAAAGATTTTTAGAATTATTTAGTTTTGGTGGCAGTATTTCACAGTTTCTACATGAATAGTTCAGTAACATTGGTCACAGACTTCCCATTGTGTCACCACTCTCTCTCTGCCATATTGTTTCATCACCATTAACCTTACAGTCTTCATCTTTGCTTTAGACTAACGTTGTCACTTTACACTCATATAGATAATTTTTTATAAGAGCACTGTGCTTGAGACACTCTTCATTCATTGGACTATTGTTCAGTTTAACTGTGGCTTCTTGGAGAAGTTTCTGTTCAAGATTTAAAGATTATTTCCAGATACTACATTTGGGTGTCTTCCAGTCTCAATGGATCCAGTAAGTCTAGTTTCCACATGAGTTTGAAGTTTTGTTTCATGCTTCGCCTCCTTTTGATCAAGATCCATCTGTTGGGTCCTTGATCAAAACTTGAAATAAATTTTAAAGTGTACTTAATTTTCAATTAATTTACATGTGGACAGCTCTATAATGGCTAGGGGAGCTCTGGTGGTGTAGTACATAAGGCATTTGACTGCTAACCAGAAGGCTGGCAGTTCAATCCCACCAGCCACTCCTTGGAAGGAAGACTGGGCAATCTACTTCTGTAGTGATACCATCTCAGAAACCCAAGGAAGGGTCGCTGTGAGTCAGATCTGACTCCATGGCAGTGAGTCTGGTTTGGTAGATAATGACTAGTGGCTACTGTATTGGGCGGGAGCTCTGGTAGTGTAGTGCTTAAGGCACTTGACTGCTAACCAGAAGGCTGGCGGTTCAAACCCACCAGCCACTCCTTGGAAGGAAGACTGGACAATCTACTTCTGTAGTGATACCATCTCGGAAACCCAAGGAGGGGTCACTATGAGTCAGATCCGACTCCACGGCAGTGAGTCTGGTTTGGTAGATAATGACTAGTGGCTGCTGTATTGGGAAGGAGCTGTGGTAGTAGGGTGCCTATGGCACTTGACTGCTAACCAGAAGGCTGGCAGTTCAAACCCACCAGCCACTCCTCGGAAGGAAGATGGGGCAATCTACTTCCGTAATGATACTGCCTCAGAAACCCAAGGAGGGGTTGCTATGAGTCAGGTCTGACTCGATGGCACACAACAACAACAACTGTATTGGGCAGTGCAACACTAGAGGCTGTGGGTTTAATCTGTCCTGCTCAGAACCAGTTCAGCCATTCCTAACTCAGGATCCCTGCACATCCCGGCTTGGATGAGCTTCAGGGCATCTGTGACACACTCTTGGCTCAGAATGGTATGTTTGCACACTCGTTTATGTGTGCATGCCCAGGGGACGGGCCTCTGCCTTCGCCACTTTTCCACAAGTGCCTGTGAAAGTTTCAACGCCACTGGGCCAGTGGTGCTTTTCAGTCTTTAGCCATACGGTGCTTTTTCCCAAGTAAGAACTTATTTGGAATCCTAACATGAAACAGAAAAGACAGAGCTGTCCTTTTTGAAATCAGGGCAGGACCCAGAAACCTTCCTGAGCTCATCTACCCCCATCATGGGCGTCTTCTCGGAAGCCATAGTTTGAAAACCACTGGTAGAACCAGTCAAGCCTTCAGGAATCATCAGCCAAAGAACAAATGGGGCATTTGGTTGGTTGTGGACTCATCCTAAGGAGCTCTGGTGGTGCAGTGGTTAAAGCATTTGGCTGCCAACCAAAAGGTTGGTGGTTCAAACCCACTAGCCACCATTCTGTGGGAAAAAGATGAGACAATCTGCTTTTGTACAAATGTATAGCCTTGGAAACTCTGTGAGGCAGTTTTACTCTGTCCTATAGGGTCGCTATGAGTAGGAATCAATTTAATGGTAGTCGTTTGGTTCATGTTTCTCTAGGAGCCCCTGGATGGCCTGACAATTAAGCGCCCAGCTATCAGTGGATAGGTTAGCTGTTTGAACCCACCCACAGGGGCTTCAGAAGTAAGGCCTGGAGACCTGCTTCTGAAAGTGCATGGCCACGAAAACCCCCTGGAGCGCAGTTCAGCTCTGCACGGATGGGGTCACCAGGGGATGGACTTGACAGCAGCGATAACAAGGGTCATCCTATGAGATGAGCCTTCTTGGGGACCCCCCAGGGGTGAGGATGGGGACCTGGGGGTGGGCAGCTGTAGCCGCCTTTCCTGGAGTTTCTCCCTCCACGCTGATGTCCTAATCTGACTTCTCTTCCCAGTCTTGGAGGCCCTCAGCGTGCTGGTGAACAGACCTCAGCTGGGGCAGCCCCTGCGGATTGAACTTGCTGACCTGCTAGCACAGGACCCGGAGCAGTTCAACAAGAATGCCAGAGAGTTCACCCTCCGCTTTGGAGTAGAGCGGCCCACCTAAACCAGGTCCAGCCCCCCTGCGGCTGCGTCCCGTCGGCCTGGTGGATGGACACACCTCATGGACTCGGGGTCAGGGCCCTCTGTGGCTCGTTCTGTGCCCATTCTTTCTTCCCTAGGTGGTTAGTCATTAGTTTGTTTGGAGTGGGGTAAGGGGTCCCGGGTGCGTATGTGATGTGTCGACTCACTCCCAGACTCACCTGGCCACAGGTGTGTCCCTCCCCGCTCCCTTTCCTGCCCCCAGTGCCAGGAGAGTTGAGGTTTGCAGAGGTGCAGGCCAGTCCTTCTCTAGCCCTCTGTGAGGTGGCAATCCTGCTGTCACATGGTCCCTCTGCTTTGGAGAGATGGGTCCAAGCCAGGTGCCAGAAATGAGCCCAGCAGCCCACTAGCATCCTCCTGGAACCCAGGCATTATGAGGGGGCTGGAGAAGTAGGGGAGATGGGTGGGAGGCAGGGTGTGCAGAGGGAGTCATATTTACGATGGAATGGTTTGTGACTGAGTGACTGCAGTCCACCAGACTAATGACAGACCTGTTCATATGTATGTGCTAAACCTTTTCCACAGATGTCCCACAAACTAGAGAATCTCACTTCCATCCCAGAAATCTGACTATTGCTTTCAGAACCCACTTGCTATCCCATTAGGTTGCCATTGTTTGGGGCCAGGCCTCAGGCCTCAGCAACACCCCTCCCAAAGGCAGCCTTGGAAACCCACAGAACTGCACAGCCATGAACGTCCCCATGAAGTTTCCAGGCTGGATGAGTCTTCATTAGCGGGTGGGATGCTTTCATTGGAGGGCAAGCAAAGACAGGGAGGGAGGACTTCACTGCCGTCTAATAAAAGTGGAGTAGCCCTGCTTCCCATGGGCTGACAGCTTGTGTGGCCTTGAACCTCATAAACCGAACACACTGTCCAGAAAGCTAGCTACAGTAGAATGAGCCATCCTGGTCCAGAGGGTCCTTCAAATGGTCCACAGGTAACATCCCCACTTTATAGATAAGGCAGTTGAGGCTCAGAGGCCTGCAGTGGATTGCCCGGGTCCACACTGCTGAGCAAGGTGCTCTGGTGGTGTCATGGTTAAGCGCTTGGCAGCTAACCAAACGGTTACTATTCAAACCCACCAGCAATTCTGTGGGAGAAAAGATGTGATCTGCTTCCATAAAAGGCTGGCGGTTCAAACCCACCAGCTTCCATAAAGACTCCAGCCCAGGAAACCCTATGGGGCAGGTCTACCTTGTCATACAGGTTGCTGTGAGTTGGAATCGACTGCATGGAACACAGCAACCACAACACACTGCCAAGCAGTGCAGAGTCCACACCTTCTGCACTGGGCCAAGCTGACGGTTTCCCCACCTACACACGCAAGCTGCTCTTACCAGCACCATGCTCCAAAAGGCTGATAAAGCAGACAGGATCGTCAGCAGGAAGTTATCATCAGGACCAAGGTTCATCTCCAACAAGCAATGGAAAAACACAAACGGACCAGAACTTCCACTGTTGTCTGAGGGATTAACTTAAACTGAAGGAAGAACTTTCTGGTTGTCATTGTTGGAAGCTACTGGAAGTCGCTGGCTTTCAAGAGACAGAATATGGGGTATCTTCAAGTGAAGGAAGGAGCTCTGGTAGCACAGTGACTAAGGCATCTGACTGCCAACCAGAAGGTTGGTGGTTCAAACCCACCAGCCTCTCCATGGAAGCAAGACTGGACAGTCTACTTCCATAAAGATTTACCACCTCTAAACCCAGTGGGGGTTGCTATGAGTCGGGATCGACTCAATGGCAGTGGGCTTGATTGTTTTCAAGTGAAGGGAACCACTGCAGGCCCTGCCATCTCAGTGTGGGTGAGATTGCTAGAGAAGCTTCTACTTACCCCTCCCCTGGAGACCGTACCTGGGAGAGGGATGGAAAGTGGAAAGGGAGACGGGATGGAGAAACGCAACTCTGAGACTTGAACTGTAAGGTTTGGGGTTTTTGTTGTGTTTTTGTTCTGGCCACCACTTAGTGAACAGTTTGGCCCATTATCACATTTTCTTGTTTAATCTTCATAACACCTCCACGAGATTGGAACTCTTACCATCCCCTTCTAGAACTGTCAAGTGAGGCTCAGAGAGGTTAACCCACTTGCCCAAGGCCCCACAGCTGGCTACTGATGGGACCCAGATCTGTCCAACACCCAGTGTCCAACTCACACCCACTGGTCTATTGTCCTTCCAAACACCTTGGACAATTGTTGAGAAGAATGCACCAGGTGACGGCTGAGGAAACCAACTCCTGCAATTGGGATGTGTCATCTCAGAAAAGACAGGTTCCCAGTGGGTAGGGAGGGAGCATGGAGGGACCAGGCGGGATTTTACAAAAGTCCTTTTAATGCAGGTCAGACTGGTATACCTGCCCTTGCCCAAGCTTGGCTCTGTGCTCTCCCTGAGCTTTGGGGCTGTGGGCTGGTCAGCCTCCGCACACGGGGTAAATCAGCACTTCATTTCTTCTTGGTCTTCACCAGTCCCTTCTGGACGAGACTGCGGTACAACTCCTGGATGTAGGTATAGACACACTTGGAGTCAGGCACTGCCAGGCGTACCATGTCATCCACCTCCAGCAGCTGGGCACAGTCGGCCAGTTTCCTGCGAGGCAGAGGTGGGTGGGGAGCAGAGGTCAAAGGTGAAGGATGTGGCGCCAAGGGAAGGTGTGAGCCAGCCCAATGAGGAAGAAAGCCATGGAATGATGTATGTTGGAGCTGGGAGATCCTCTAGGCCAACCATCCCATTACCCAGATGAGATGACTGAGGTCCCCACAGAGTCGAGACTCATAACCAGCCTGGTCTGACTCTAAAGGCCATGTTTTCATTGCACTGTCCATCTCCCATGGGAGCAGGACCCTCTGGTTTGCTTCTACCTTGGCCCACCCCTTCCACAGGCAGCTGTCTTCTGAACCAGGGACCTCTTAGACCACGTTTCTCAGGATAAATGTAAAGGACAGACATCCAGTGTCAGCCAGAGTGCTGGTTCGCTGCTGCAACGCCTCCGGGATTCATTCATTCATCTATGCATATTTGTGAAGGGTCTGCTGTGTACCAAAGGAGGCTTGGTGTTGCAATGGCTAAGAGCTCACCTGCTAACCGAAAGATTGGTGGTTCGAGCTTACCCAGCAGCTCTGCGGAAGAAGGACCTAGTGACCTGCTTCCATAAAGATTACAGCCTAGAAAACCCTGTGGGGCACTTCTGCTCTGGCATAGGGGTCGGTATGAGTTGAAATCAACTCAGTGACATCCAACAACAACAGTATGGACCAGACATTCTGGGAATTCAGCAGGGAACAAAACCAAACTTCCCTACTCTTGGCACTGACATTCTTGTGGTAGGAGACAGAGAGTAAACAAACACAAGCCAGCCAGTCCAGCCGAGGGTGAGAGAAAAGTAAGGCAGGGAAGGGAGACAGGGAGTGCCAGGTATGTTCCTTTTCTGTCTCAATGAAGATGGTCATGTGATCTTTTCCTCCGTCCTGCTGCTGTTGTTAGGTGCCGCTGAGTTGGTTCCGACTCATAGCAGTTCTGTGTACAACAGAAAACCAGACGCTGCCCAGTCTGCCCCATCCTCATAGTCACTGCTGTGTTTGGAGCCCACTGTGTCAGTTCATCTTGTTGACGGTTTCCCCTTTGGCGCTGACCCTCTACTTTACCAAGCACAATGGTCTTCTCCAGGGACCATTCCCTCATTCCCTCCTGATAATGTGTGCAAAATACGTGAGATGAAGTCTCACCATCCTTGCTTCCAAGGAGCAATCTGGCTGTACTTTCTCCGCAGCAGATTTGTTCATTCTTCTGGCAGCCCATGGTATATTCAGTCTTCTTTGCCAGCACCATAATTCAAAGGCATCAAGTCTTCAGCCTTCTTTATTCATGGTCCAGCTTTCACAGCATATGGGACATTTAAAATTGTTCTACTAGTGTCTTTCTTACACTGATTGCTTTTCTGATGTCAAGCCACCCTTGCATTCCTGGCATAAATCCTACTTGGTCATGATGTATAATCCTTTTAATATTCTTTTGGATTTGGTTTGCTGGTATTTTGTTGGGGATTTTTGCATCTGTACTTATAAGGGATAATGGTCTGTAGTTTTCTTGTGTCTCTGTCTGCTGTTGGTATCAGGGTGATGCTAACTTCGTAGAATGAGTTAGGAAGTGTTCCCTCCTCTTTTATTCTTGGGGAAAGTTTAAGGAGGATTATCTTCTGTAATGTTTGGTAGAATTTGCCGGTGAAGTCCTCTGTAAGTGTAAATGCTGTTGAGCCGAGTCTGACTCATGGCGACCCCCAAGGGCCGAGCAGAACTGGGCTCCACTGGGTTTCCCAGGCTGTGACCTTTGGGAAGCAGATCACCAGGCCTGTCTTCCAAGATGCCTCTGGGTGGGTTCGAACCACCAACCTTTTGGCTATTAGTCAAGCTCTTAACCATCTGCCTCACCTGGGGACTCTCCCCCAGTAAAGCCATCTGCTACAGGGCTTTTCAATGTCATGGATTGAATTGTGTCCCCCCCAAAATATGTGTCAGTTTGGCTGGGCCATGACTTTCGGTGGTTTGGCGGTAATGATTCCCCACGACATGATAAGCTGATCAGTTGTAAAAGGCTTAGGGTGGGGCGCAACCCCTTAATCCCATTGCAGCCTGATTGGGACTGAAGGGGAGTTTCCAAGGGGTGTGGCCTGCAACAGCTTTTCTCTTACAATAGATAAAAGGGGAGAGAAGGAGTAGAGACTGGGCCGACTACCACCAAGAAAGAAAGGCCAGGAGTGGGGTGTGCCCTTTGGACCCAGAGTCCCTGTGCCGGCATCTTCCCAGGACCAAGAGACACAGAAAAAGGAAGACTTGCCTAGAGTTGGCTCTCTGAACTCAGACTTCTGGCCTCCTAAACTGCGAGATAATAAATTTCTGTTTGGTAAAGCCATCCACTTTTGGTATTTCTGTTATAGCAGCATTAGAAAACTAAGACACGGGGGGTGTTCCTGTGTTAGAGAGGGGGCTGCTGTTCTTTAATAGGATGCTTAGGGAAGCCTCGGGAGAGAGGGAGTTATCTGTGCATGTCTTTCGGAAGAGGATTCCGGGCAGACTGAATAGCACAACCAAAGGCCCTGAGGTGTCTTGGTGTCTTTGAGGAGCTGCATGGAACTTGGCACAAGTTCTCTTCCTGTGTTTAACATTAATCCTTCCAGGTGGGCTCTGGGGCTTCGTGCTCCTCCTGGCTTTGCTGAGGCCGGTAAGCAGAGCTAACCACGTCAGGGCCTCACTCCCAGGTGCACGTTTTGTGCCAGATGCTTCTCGAATGGTCTCATTTACTTCTCTTTCCACCTTCAACAGCAGAAGGAGAACTGGAGACTCAATGTCTTGCTGACTTGCCCAAGGTCAACCTGAGTGGCACAACTGGTACTTGACCCCGGGGCTGTGTGGCCCCTCTGACACCCATATTTGGAAGCCGAGTCTCAGCAGTCCTGGTGGGTGCTGGCAATGGGAGAAACCAGGGTCCCAGTGGAAATTCTCTGCTGGGCAGAGACAGCTGGCCTGAAACCTAAGCTGGCCTGGCCTAGGGGCCGGGGGAGGAGTGCAGCCTGGAGGGTTTCAAAAAATGAGACAGGCACCCCACAGCCAGTGCAGTGGCCAGCTCCTGGGTGCCAGCTGAGGTGCCGTCCCGTACACGGGCGAGGCAAACTTCGTTCCCACGGAGACCGGGATCAGAGGACTCTCACCAGCAGCACATTTGATCAAGTCCCCTGGGGCTCCAGAAGCCCCCCCCCCCCAACTGCTCCCTCCTCTTATCCCAGGACTCCATGGAACAGAGGCAGTGACGTGTCATGGCTGTGGCAGGGGCCCCCTTATTTCTCACACTTAATTGTCACAACGAACCATTTTGTACTACCCATAACTGTGGCATCATTGCTTATAATTTAACAGCAGTGAAAATGTTTTGTTGTTGTTGTTGTTATGTGCCATCGAGTCGGACCCGACTCATAGCGACCCCTCCTTGGGTTTCTGTGGCAGTATCACTACGGAAGTAGATTGCCCCATCTTCCTTCCGAGGAGTGGCTGGTGGATTTGAACCGCCAGCCTTCTAGTTAGCAGTCAAGTGCCTTAGCCACTATGCTACCAGAGCTCCCTGAAAATGTTTTAGAAGTGCTTAATGTGGTTAAAGAGTTCTGGTAGTATAGTGCCTAAGGCACTTGACTGCTAACCAGAAGGCTGGCGGTTCAAACCCACCAGCCATTCCTCAGATGAAGGTTGGGCAGTCTACTTCCGTAATGATACCACCTCAGAAACCCAAGGGGGGGTCATCGAATCCGACTGGATGGCACATAGCAACAACAACAGCAATGTGAGTTAGGGAGTTCTGGTGGCACTGTGGTTAAAGTATTGGGCTGCTAATCAGAAGGTCAGTGGTTTGAACCCACCAGCTGCTCCATGAGTCAAAGATGAGGCGGTCTGCTTCTGTAAAGATTTACAGCCTTGGAAACCCTACAGGACAGTTCTATTCTGCCCTATAGGGTCATTATGAGTTGGAATCAATTGGATGACACTGAGTTTTGGATTTACTGTGGATTACATACTTTGGTGGTGGCTGTACTTAATTATTTTACTTAATTTTCATAATGTTGTTAATGTGCTGTCGAGTTGGACTTGACTCATAGTGACCCCTCCTCGGGTTTCCAAGGCAGTATCACTACGGAGGAAGTAGATTGCCCCATCTTCCTTCGGAGGATTTTCACAATAGCCTCCAAAAAGAGGAACCATCATCCCCATGTCAGAGATTCGAATATGGAGGCACAGAAGGGAAGAGGGCCTGCCCAAGATCACACAGCTAACAAATGGCAGTCAGAAGCCGACCCCAAACCTCTGTAACCACCCTACCCAAAGCAGTAGGCTGGCCTCTCTTCTATTCGTTCCTTTGCCTGATTTTCCTTCATAGCACCTATCACCAGCTGACGTCATATGTAATACCGATTTGTGTTTGGAATTCCTGGGTGGTGCAAACAGTTAAGCACTCAGCCGCTAACCAAAAGGTTGGAGGTTCAAGCCTACGCAGAGGCACCTTGGAAGAAAGGCCTGGCCATCTGCTTCCAAAAACTCAGCCATTGAACAGGCCCGAGAGCACAGTTTTCTTCCACCACATATGGGATCACCGTGAGTCGGAGTCAACTTGACCACCCTGACCTGTGGGCGTTTATGATCTGTGCCTTCCTTTACAACATAAGCCAGCAGAGAGCAGGGATTTTGCCTGTTTCTCCCACTGCTATATCCCCAGGGCCTGCTGGTGCTCACAGATTTTAGCTGGACCAATGGATGTGTAGCTGCCGTATCAGTCTGCCGACTCCACTTTCAAGCCCTGTGAAGCCAGCCCTCACCGCGGGCTGCCGTGGACTCCCATCCCCCCCTGCCACCCCTTGGCTTACTCTGCAGTGGAAAAGGCCAAGGTGAAGTTGTGCCGGCGTTGTGTGGGGTCCAGCTCAGAGTAGTCGAAGGCGTCAGGGAAGAACTTGTGGATGAGGGCACAGAAGGCCATACCACTGCTCCAGCTTGAGGAGAAGTTCTGGATATCCACGTGCTGCGGGCAATGCGTGGGTTGGCAGAGCACAGAGGGGTCCCGGTGAGCCTCTGGTCGGAGGGCCTCGGGGAGGGAGGGCTTGGCCCCCTTCCCACCCTCCCACCCTCTAGGCTTCGCCCCACTCTGACCCTCCTGGCACTGCTGCCCTGGGAAGGGTCCCTCACCAACCTCGTATTTCCTTGTCATGGCCCGGCACCACTCCAAAAGCATGTTTTTCACCCCACCAATGGCTGCCCCTGCTGCCTTTGTGTTCCGGAACAGGGCCGTAGGGCCCGAGGCTGCCCTGTGAGAGCAAGGAGGTAGATGGCCAGACCAGAGAGGGCCAGGTCAGGAAGGAGGCTGGCCCCAGATGGCAGGCCTCCACTTTCCACCACCCCTCGGGCCTCCTCCTCCTCCCCTCGTTCCCAACGAGAGTCCAGCCAGCTCTGGCCAGTGTCCTACCCGCCAAACTTGTCCACAATGGCTTTGCGGTTCTGTGCACGGGCCCCCCGGGGCCGAGTAGGGGCTGACACCCTGCGCTCTGGGGCCTTCTCCTTCTTCTTCTCCCCCGGGGAAGGTGCCTCCGTGGGACTCTGGGGCACATCGCTAGGAGACGACTCACTGTGTGGGAAGGTCCAGATAAGGGAGAGGGGGTCTGAGAGCAGCCTTTAGCTGGTACAGGGAGGGGCTGGGGGTCTTGGCAGAGTCTAAAGGGCACGTGTGGTGTGTCGCCCACACTTGGCACACACTGATTCTGCAGCCGGCACTGGGAGGAGTTTGAGAAGGACTGATGAAGCCCATCCTAACCTCCAAAAGCTGGTGGGGATATTGAGCAGAGACTAGCACAAGTCTGGGGGGCTCTGGTAGCATAGTGCCTAAAGCACTTGCCTGCTAACCAGAAGGCTGGCAGTTCAAACCCACCAGCCACTCCTCGGAAGGAAGGTTGGGCAATCTACTTCTGTGGAAGTACCATCTCGGAAACCCAAGGAGGGGTCGCTATGAGTTGAGGCTGACTCGACGGCACACAACAACAAGGACAAGTCTGAGGGCCAACCTGAGTTTGAATTCTGCCTTTGACTCTTATTTGCTGTTTGATCTTGGGACTGTCATGTCACTTCTCTGAGCCTCAGCTTCCTCATCTGTAAAATGGGTACAAGAAAACCTATCAAACAAAATGGTTCTATGGGCTGCATGAGTGAGTGAATGTAAGGTTCCCGCTTGCCTGCCACACAGTTGCATGAGTGCTCAGGGAATATCTTTCCCTAGGAGTTCCTGGGTGGCACAGACAATTAAGTGCTGGGCTATTAACCGAAAGGTTGGCCGTTTGAACCCACCCAGAGACACCTTAGCGATCTGCTTCTGAAAGGCCACAGCCATGAAAACTCTGTAGAGCATAGTTCTGTTCTGCACACATGGGATCACCATTTCCCTAAGAAAGTAAGTGACAAGGAGCTTGATTTCTGCTCAGTATGAAGGAGGATTCTTCTAATGACTAAAGTTGATAGAGTTCCAGAGGAAGGCTATCATTTTACCCAGCACCTACCATGCACCAGGCACTACACTGAAGTGCTTCACACACCTTCTGTCATTTAAACCTCGGAATAATCTGATAAGGTAGGTATAATCATGCCCACTTCACAGATGAGAAGAGACTAAGTGATATGGCCAAGGTCACACAGCAGGTAAGTAGCAGAGCCATTGTCCAAACTCAGGCTTTCTGACCATGAATGGTCAGATTGTGATGCTAACACCATGGAAACAGGCTGAGCTGCGAGATCGGAGCTCCTAGGAGAACGCCTCAGTGGAGTGGTAGGTAGACCAGGTGTCCTTCCACTCCCTTCTACCTCTGGCTCCTTTGGTTTTCTGGGATCGGAGCTCCTAGGAGAACGCCTCAGTGGAGTGGTAGGTAGACCAGGTGTCCTTCCACTCCCTTCTACCTCTGGCTCCTTTGGTTTTCTGGGCTCTGCCCCAGAGCGGGGGCAGGAATCCTGGAATATCACCAGATCAGGTGCTGAAGGGGTTGGGGGCAGGCTGAGGTGATGGTAGACTTTGAAGGAAGCAGGTGGCAGGGGGAGTTGGTGCTGGAGCCCTGGAGGTTGACATTACCTGGCAGAAGGACTGGTCTCTCCAGAAGCTTCTATTTCTGGGCCCACCTCATCTGGAGGAAAGGAATGGGAAAGAGGGAGGCTGCGGCTACCATGGCATGCTCTCCACACCTCCTCCTCCCACTCCCACAGGGTTACCCCTGCAGTGCCTGTGGGCCCCTGGGCTTTCACTCACCAGGGCTGAGGCCATGACCCTCCTCGGTGGGACTCTCAGGCCACTCCTCAGGGGAGCTGGGGACCACCCTTTCCCCTTCTTCTGGTTCTATCTCCACATGCTGGTCCTGCTCTTCATTGGCACCACCATGCTCCTGGAACAAACATGGTCCTTGTGATCCATGGTCTCACAAGCACATGTCCCAGGCTTTGTGAGAACTTCCAAAAGAGCTGAAGGAGACCTGAGGCCACAGTGCTTCATCCCTGTGCCCTACCTTCCCTACCCCAGTCGCCTGATGTCAAAGCCGGGGAGGCCTGGACTCTCCCAAGGGAGTAAGGCAGGGAGGGTTTGCTCCCTGGGTTTAGGAGACATGGCTGCTTCGCCTTTGTGGGGCCTCCTCCTCCTCCTCTGCCTCACTCACCTCTTCTTTGGCATCACTGTCGGCCTCCTTTTTCCCATCAAGCTCCTGATGTTCAGGTTTAGCCTCAGAAGCTGCCTTCTGAGCTTCAGTGTTGGCCTCTTTTGCACCTGCCTGCTCCTTGGGTTCGTCTTTGGCCTCCTCCCTCTTGTCGCTCTCTCCCTGAGGTGTCATCATGGCGGCCTCCTTCCCGTCAGCTTCCTTGGGTTCAGCCCTGGCCTGGTCATCCCCGTCAGCTTTCTCCCTGGATTCGGGCTTGGCCTCCTCCTCAGCCTTCTGCTTCTCCTCGGCCAGTGTGGCCTCCTCTTTCCCCTCAGCCTCCTTGAGCTCAGATTTGGTTTCTCCTTTCCTGTCAGTCTTGTTCAGAGGGGCCTCTGTGGTCTCTTGCTTCCCACCATCCTCCATTTTAGGTTCAGGCTCGGCTTCCCCTTTGGATTTCACCTGGACCTCATCTAACCCATCTGCTTCTCCCTGGAGTTCCGCTGGGATGCTGTCCTTAGCTGGTGCGTTTTCTGGCTTTCCTACCCCATCTGGAGGCCTGTCTTCACCAGATTCCCCAGCTGCGCCATTGGCCTCTGTCTCTGTAGAGGCTCTATTTCCCAGGGCCCCAGGGTTCTCTGTGGTTGGAGATACAGTGGTCTCATCCTCCAACGGCTTCCCTTCTTTCTGCTCCATCTCTAGAAAGAAAGGACACGCAGACCTGGTCATGCCTGTCTCAGCGAGCAAGGTCAGGCTCAGGAGGCCTGGGGCTGAGTGCTGGCTTCTCCCCGCCTGGACATGTGACTGAGCATCCACTTTTCCTGGGGTGAAACCAAAGGGAAGAACCCTGGTTTCCTGCAAGAGGGAGGTTTGGGCCACACTGATGTGATGTTGGGCAATGTTTACCTAAGTCCCTGTGTAAGCTAGCACTTGCTTTGTCTTTAAAGAATGTTCTGTCACACAGTGCCTTTCCAATGATTTCACGTTCCTTCTGGTAAACCAGAGCTAGCTGGTGGCACAGTGGCTAAAGTGCTCAGCTGCCAACCAAAAGTTCAGTTACCCACTGAAAAACCAAAACCAAACCACTGCCATCGAGTCAATTTTGACTCATAGCAACCCTAAAGGGCAGAGTAGAAGTGCCCCACAGGGTTTCCAAGGCTGTAGAAACATACATGGAAACAGACCACCTCATCTTTCTCCCATGGAGCCGCCCTTTGGTTGGCAGCCAAATGCTTTAACTGCTCTGTCTTTATGGAAGTCAATTGCTCCATCTTTCTTCCATAGGCCGGCTGGTGGGTTACCAGTCAAATGCCTTAAGCACTGCATCACCAGAGCACCTTTGATTAAACCTACAGACGGTCACAATGTGGGACTAGCGTGCCTCTAACACCCCTGGAGAAATTGCTGTTATTGTTGTTATGTGCCATCGAGTTGGCCCCGACTCATAGCGACCCCTCCTTGGGTTTCCGAGGCAATATCACTATGGGAGTAGATTGCCCAAGCTTCCTTCCGAGGTGTTTGGAGGAGCGCCTGGCACAAGGGTGCACTGTCTCAGTGTGGCCGGCATCAGCTCTTCCGCGGCTTGGTGGGTTTGAACCGCCAGCCTTCTGGTTAGCAGTCAAGTACCTTAGGCACTATGCTACCAGAGCCTGTGGAGCAATTGCTACTCTCCCTTTTTAAGGGAGACAGCCAGCCTCGGCTCAGAGCCTAAGGTAGGCAGGAGTGTCTCCATATATTTAATGACACAGTTTTGATTCCATTGTGTTTATTGTTACAGTTGCCTTCTATTTCTGGTATATGATACTGAGTTCCCATTTCCAATAGTGATCTAAAGTGTCTTTCTAAAAATGCATTTATTGAACTTAGAAATAACAAATTCAGAGGAACACATCAGGAAATTCGACTCCAGGTGGCACAGATACAGCTCAGTCACGGTGGTGGTGTAACAGTACCTGAAATTCGGGAGACTGGCCAGCTGGTGGCTGGCGTTCCGCCAGCTCGGCCAGCCTGGGTTTGGGAAACAGTGGGCCTGGGCAGGGAAGAGGTTCCTTTGGGGAAGAATGGAAATGTTTTCTCCCCAACCTCAGCTGGGAATCTGACCCGCCAACAGCCCCAGGGAAGGGGAGGGCCAGGACACCTATACTCGGGATTTCCTATTCAAGGACTGTGTACTATGTAGGATCTACACAAACAGGTGGGTGTGGGGGACAGGGCCACTCCTTCATCCCCTGCCCTGCTTGGGGTTCTGGTTACAAAGCAAACAATCCCCAAATACGGTTCAGGGTGTGACTCAGAAGGACCCAGATGTGTACACTCCCGTCACTGGCTAAAAATACCTCCTGCTTGGCAGTGCCATCTTTCTTGGTGACAGTTCCCAGGGCACCTGGGTAATTGGGACAGATGACTGGAGGCAGGAGGACAAGCCGAGAGACAGGGCTCTGTTCCCACTGTCCACTCGGGTCTTCCTGCCCCCAGATCAGAGTTCTGGGGTTCCTGGACTTGGAACCCATACCATTTCTTAGAAACAGGCTGGGGGTTGTGAAGTTGCTCAGACTGTCCCTTTGTTACGGGTTGAATTGTGTCCCCCCAAAATATGGATCCTACCCCCCATGCCTGTGGGTGTATTCCCATTGGGGAACAGGGTTTTCTCTGTTATGTTAATCAGGCAGTATCAATGTAGGGTATATTTTAAACAAATCACCTTTGAGGAGTAAAACAGCCAATTAAGTATGGAAGCAGACAGGGAAGACTGACACTATCTGAAGATGATAGCGGCAGACTGGTCTACCATCACAGAGCCTCCAAGGATGGCCAGTTAGAGAAGCTGAGACAAGGCTTTTGCCCCGGATGGGACAGAGTCTTCCCCTAGAGCTAGTGCCCTGGCGTTGGACATCGAGCCTCCTGACTTGTGGGAGAAAGATGAGGCAGTCTGCTTGCATAAAGGTGTGCAGCCCTGGAAGCCCTATGGGGCAGTTCTACTCTGCCCTGTAGGGTTGCTTTGAGTCAGAATCAATAAGACAGCAGTGGATTAGTCTCCTAACTGTGAGAAAATAAGCTTCTGTTTGTTAAAGCCACCCACCTGTGGTATTTCTGTTATAGACGCACCAGAGAACTAAGACACACTTGGTAGTGCAGCAGGTCCTGCAATGTATTCAGGTAAGAAAAAAATCAGCCTGGGGGATGAAATGCACGTTAGCAGGGAGTCAGGGAGCCAGGAGGACATGGAACTGCCCTTCCACTTACTCACCCACTCACCTGAGACCTGACACGTCTTCTCGGGCTCTGTTCCCACTGACAGTGTCTGAGTTGGTCTAGATCTAGAGCGCTGGAGGATTAAGGAAGCAAATGCATGGTGTTTAGAGGAGCGCCTGGCACAAGGGTGCACTGTCTCAGTGTGGCCGGCATCAGCTCTTATGGAGTGAGTGGGTCTGCTCTCAGCCCAGCCCTGTCCCAGGGTAACATCCTGACCTGGCCTCAAGGGCATTTAGTTGGTGAGACCGAGCAGAGATAACTGAATGCCAGGAAGATGATAACAGACCCTTTTTATACCTCAGAGTGTGACAGTACTTGGCTGATGTGGCTGGGTGCTCCAGCCATCTCTCCCTCTCCTAAATTTCTGTCCATTTACACACAACACAAGGGGCAGGTGCCCACGCGTGCGCACACACACACACACAGACATACATCTCTCTCAGCCACCCACCCTGTTTCATCACCTCAGCTTCCTACCTTCCAGGCTTGTCAGAGATAGACGAGGAGTGACCTACCTCAGAATGGTGGACACCAACACAGCCCAACCAAACAGTAACAGTTCCACAGTGTACAGCGTACTCTGCAGAGCCCATTTTACCTCAGCCGGTCCTCGCGCTAACCGTTCAGAATAGCTGCTTCCAGTTACTGGTGAGTCACCTTCAACTCATGGCAACCTCAGAGCAGAACTGTGCTCTGTAGGGGTTTCAAAGAAGTAGACTAGGTGTTCCTGGCCCCATTTTACAGATTAGAAATTTGACACTCGGAGCATTTAAGCCTCTCTGGTAGCATAGTGGCTAAAGCACTTGACTGCTAACCAGAAGGCTGGTGGTTCAAACCCACCAGCCACTCCTCGGAAGGAAGGTTGGGCAATCCTACTTCCGTAGTGATACTGCCTCGGAAACCCAAGGAGGGGTCGCTATGAGTCGGGGCTGACTCGATGGCAAACAACAACAACAACAACAACAACAACTAAAGTCATAGGACAATAAATAAATGGCTGAACCATACAAAACCCAGGTCTCCTGACTTCCACACCCAGCTCCTCAGCTCAGTGACCCTTCAGTGGCCCCAGTGAGGGGCACCCCTCTGGCGGGAGCAGGGCAGTCAGCACAGTAGTCCCTTCATGAAAGTTTCTCCCCTTCTTTTCCCCCCTTGGCTGTAATCTTTACAGAAGCAGATTGGCAGGACTTTCTTCAGCAGTGCCTTTGTGTGGTTTCCAGCCACTAACTTTTCGGTTAGTAGTCTGAGAGCAAGTCATTTGCAACACCCAGGGGCCTCCTCCTTCCCTACTTACACCCCCCTTTCCTCCTCCTTCCTCCTACCCCTGGAAGCCTCCCTACCACAAGCAACACAGAGGACAGCTCCCCACTCCCTCTTCCTGTTTCTCTGGGCACAGCGGGAGGTAGAGCCCCAGTAGTACAGGCCACACAGCATGGTTCTGCTGAGGCCTCCACCGTCCGCTGCTACCAGTCTGGCCTCCAGTGACCCTGAGGTGTCCACTCCCGCAACCCCAGCTAGGGACCTTCCCCTCGAGAGACCATTCTCAGCTGCTTAGGGTGTGTCTCCCAACCCAGCTGGACGGGTGAGACAGCCAAGGCCCCTTCCACGCCTGTGAGGGCCTCCTGGTCCATGGCCACCTGCAGGATGCCCTGTAGAAGATCTCAGGTGGTCCAGCCCCCCAGAGCTGCGTCCCTAGCCCCTGGGATCTAAAGGGAGTTGGCAGACAGCAGTGAAGAGAATTAGAAAGGACCCGGGGCTTGTCCAACTGTGGGGACCTGCATGAAGGCTCTGGCCATTAGAAGGTAGGAGCTGGGGTTGGAGGCTGGGGAAGGCACACTGAGAAAGGGCCCGGGCTTCTCCTACCTACAAGGCCACTGCCTGGGCTTGAGAGCTGGCTGCCTCCTTCAACTTCTCAGCCTGGCTCCCGGGCTGCCTTTAAGCCCAGGCAGCGTCTAGCCCCCAGCTCCTCCGTCCCCCTCCCCCAACCTCCCTTCCCCCAACCTCCTGAGGCTCAGGTCCCCCGCCCCTGAAGAGCATTGTTTACTACCCTGTTGGTACAACACTGTACCCTGGCCTGGGAGGCTCAGATTTCTCCAGAAGCCTTGACAGGTGGCACCTTTCAATCACGTCGTGCCCCTCCCACGATGATATCCATCCTGTGGTCACCTTTCCTCCCAATGGGACTTGCCAGCCCTGGGGACCTCCACAACCATCTGTAGGGGCCATTTGGAGCGTGGTCTCCAGGCCTCTGGCCCTCCCTGCTCCCCTCAGGGTTACCCCCATTCTCCTGTGAACGGTCCCTTTTACTCCTCCCGAGACAAAAGCAGCTGCAGAAGGGTGGGCGGAGCAGGGGGACTGGGGCAGCTGCCAGACGACGGGGAGGGTCTTGGGGCGCACACTGGACAGAGATTGGGAGGGGGAGGGGACAGAGAGGAGCAGCGCGG